ACACACACACACACACACACACACATCAACATGATAACTGTCTGACTGTACTTTATGTTCTTAAATACCTCAGTATCTGCAGCTGACAGTTTGGACTCTTCAGTCCATCAGAGAGCAGCTTCACTCCTGAATCCTGCAGGTGATTGTTACTCAGATCCAGCTCTCTCAGGGCACAGTTTAAGGATTGTAGAACAGATGACAAACTCTGACAATGCTGACCAGTGAGATTACAGCCAGAGAGGCTGAAAGAGAGCAGAACACACACATCAACAGTCAGATCATCTACACACACACACACACACACACACATCAACATGATAACCGTCTGACTGTAAATGATCTCTTATATGTTCTTAATACCTCAGTATCTGCAGCTGACAGTTTGGACTCTTCAGTCCATCAGAGAGCAGCTTCACTCCTGAATCCTGCAGGTCATTGTTACTCAGATCCAGCTCTCTCAGGACAGAGTTTGAGGATTGTAGAGCTGATGACACCATTTCACAATGCTGATCTGAGAGATCACAGCCAGAAAATCTAGAAGAGATGAAAGAACAAATAAAATGAAACCAATAATATAATAAAGACATGTAAAGGAATTTCCCAAGTATCTGTCCTCAGGAACCTGGAAATAAATATTTTTACATTCCAGCCTGAATAACAATAAGATGAGTTCCTGAGTGCAAGGATATAATCTGCTCATTTTATCAGGTTCATCAACATCAGAGATCAGATTAGCTCCTGACTGTTTCTTCAGCTACTGCTGTGCTTCAAAATATGCTTTGCTGAAGATATACAATTATGAGTTTTGAACTACGAATCTGAGAGACTCCTTATTTCATTCATGCAAAGTTATGTCTTTGGGATATGACTTGACAAATTACATGAATCTGTGAGTTTGATTCTATTTCTTAGTGCCAAGCTGCTCAAACTAAATCAAGGTCAAGGTCAAGGTGAACTTTATTAACCCCAAAGGGCAATTTGTTTTATATCTTTATATCTATAAATATATTATTTACTACATCTTATTCGTGCAGTAATGGCTGTTGTATTAGATTACGTTTATTAATTAAAGCAAAACAAGGTACTCGACATGTGGACGCCATTGTTGACTCGTCTCACCTCAGATGCAGTGCTCAGATGCATTAAATGGTGTTCTTATCTTTCATTGTTGTTGAATGTATTTAGTTAAGGGGTCATGATATGAGGAATCAAACTTTATTTGATATTTTGAAATATAAGAGGTCACTATACTATAAAAATATAGTAATTTTCAGTCCTCAAAAATTCCTCCTCACTGCAAAAAGAGCATTTCATGAAACTAACCTGCAAAAAGTATATATTTGCATTTGAATGACTCTAAAACAGCACTTCAACACCTACAGTGTGCAGTTGAGCAGTGAGGTGATGAGGAGAGAGATGCAACAATGTTAGTCAATCACAATAGCAAACATTTACTGACAAGAGTCAAACTGAGACTAGAAAATAATCATGCTGTGCAAATATAGGACTGTCAAAAAACTTCAAAAAAATAAATAATAAAAAAAAAATGTCGTCATGTCATGACCCCTTCAAAACTATAAGCTTGCTGTTTAGAAGAAAATATCTAATTTAAGAAATGGTCCATTTTAAAGATGCTAGATTCATTATTAAACATGATTCTTCATTTCTTAATGATGAAACACTCACAGAGCTTTTCTGCAGTTGATCACAGCTGGTATCAGTCTTCTTCTCCCCT